AAGGTGTGTAAACACGAGTGATTGTGAGTTCATTTTAACTAACGCTAACATTGTTTTTTATTGTTTTTGTTGAGTATTTCTTATTGCTAAGTACCATCGAAACCGGAAACAAAACTTGCTAGGTACCATGGAAACCGGAAACAAAACCTACCCACCAAAGGGAAAGGTTACCTTAGAATCTTCCATGAGGACTCCTACTTTGTGTGGGTATCATATTTTATGTTAATAGTGGAATCAATGGGGCCAAATGAGAGTCTCCTTGACTCGATGCTATATTTTTCCTTCCCATTTGACCTCGGTGTTGGTCTAAATTTTGATGTGTGTGGTAGTAACACCCTTTTTCTTTTATGTGATTTTTACTTGGTGTTATTACTTTATCATATGTGCTTGAATGAGGTTTGTTTGCCAAGTTGTGTGGGGAATACTATTGTATTTGACCCCGATCATGAATTGGGAATAACTACATTCTGCTAGTGCATTGGATGGAATCTTAATTTGGGTCAACTTTGTTTATGCCCATGCACGGGAGGGCATACATATGAGGTCGTCTAAGTGTATTGGTTCTTAAGCTCTACCCCTTTGTCAATGTTTCTTACTAAGCCAAGTATCTATTGCTTTGATAGGTTACAAACCCTTGGTTGATATTTGTGATGCTTGGTTATATGTTCAATTTGTGGATCCTTGGCATGGTGATGAACTTGTTATTGCTAACGCTAACCCCTCATGCCATGAGGATTTTGTTCTTGTTTGCTCCCCCTAGGGTTTTGCAAGGTATGGATTCGAGGACGAATCCTTTTCAAGAAGGGGAGAATGATGTAAAATGGATTACATCGAGCCTATCCATTCACGAACTTCAATGCTTTTATGAAGTGTTCACAAGGATGGAGGATTGTTTGGCATGTATGGATGCCAAGGAAGGAGTTCCATGCCTTGCATGGGAACATATGCACCTTGAAGTAGCTCCCAATTGGGCAACACCATGCTTGGATGATAGCTTGGAGCGTGGAAGGCCTAACGAAGGGAGGAGGTGCAAGTGAAGAATGTGCTCTATTCGGAGAGTTGGAGAACACTTCGGAGACTCGCCAAAGCCCGTTGGCGAGGGTTCCCAATATCGCCAACTTCCCAAGAACGGAATATTTGAAAAGGGAAGTGTTTAATTCCAAAAAGGAAGAAAGAGATAGTGTTAAAGTGTTTGTAAAAAGAGAATTTACCAAAAAGGGTAAATACAAAACGCCAAGGAACACGGGGGGGACCACTAGGGTTAAATTTTTCGGAGCCTTGCAGTTGCAACTTGAGGAATTTGGGCAAATCCTACCTTGGATCGCCCATTCCGCTCGGCCCCTAGCCTTTTGGGCAGCTATGTCGCCGAGTTCGACCTCATTTTGGTGAAGACACTGGAAATTTTGATGAGCTAAGCCGTGGTCACTGATCCCATTCGACGCATCGCCGAACTTCCACCCAGATCACCAATTTGCCTTGTCCTTTTCTACAGTTTGGCGAGTCAATCTTCAAGCTGGCTAGCTTAATTTCACGTTAGAAGAAGAACACAGGCCATTTGGCGATGGGAAACTCGTCATATGCCCCTTTTTATCTCAGGTTCTAATTTTTAGTTTCTTTTCTTTTGACTCTTGTTCGTAATCATGATTCCTAAACTGATTTTCAACTTGTAAGTACGTACTCGTTGACTATTGGTTTTCGAAATTCACTTCTTTGTTAGTGCTTTTCTTTGTGTGCTTTTATTCGTTTTACTTCTTAGTTAACTTCTTTCTTGACCCAAGTCCGTTTGCTTTAATTGAGTCGTCCATTTTTCATTAAACAAAAATCCATTCCGACCAAGAGTAGAATTGGCTCATTTGTGATATGTCGAGTCTAAGCAATCTTCAACATTAGCCATGCCAATTTGAAAGGAAATCAAAGGTGTGTAAACGAGAGTGATTGTGAGTTCATTTTCACTAACGCTAACATTGTTGTTTATTGTTTTTTGTTGAGTATTTGTTATTGCTAGGTACCATGGAAACCGGAAACAAAACCTACCCACCAAAGGGAAAGGTTACCTTAGAATCTTCCATGAGGACTCCTACTTAGTGTGGTATCATATTTTATTTTAATAGTGGAATCAATGGGGCCAAATAAGAGTCTCCTTGATTCGATGCTATATTTTTCCCTCCCATTTGACCTCGGTGTTGCTCTAAATTTTGATGGGTGTGGTAGTAACACCCTTTTTCTTTTATGTGATTTTTACTTGGTGTTATTACTTGATCATATGTGCTTGAATGAGCTCTCTCACCTTGACTGATCCATAGTTGCAGTTCCTACTCCCTAGAGCAGTAAAGTGAGTACTCTAATATGAGTTTGTTATTAAATGCACGTGCTTACTCTACCAAGTATTAGCATGCAAGATTTAAACTTGTTTCATTGTCAAAGTACCCTTTGCACGTTTTTCCCTTATATAAATCATAATGATCCTAGATTACACATGGTACATATGTTTATATGTTGGATATACAATCTGCCCATATTTTGCCAACTTGCTTCAATTGTCTATTCCATCATATATGTCATCTTTTCACATGTTCATATGTTCCCTTTATTGGTTATTACTCCCATTGTGTTAGACTATAATGTTACCTCACAAGATTCCTACTTGCTCTATTGTACATTTTATATGTACTTACTTGGAATATATATCCGTCCTAAAGTTGAATCTGCCCACGTTCTCCCTTGGTTCAACGTAAGGACGGATACATCTTCTAATTAAGCACATATAAAATGTACAATAGAGCAAGTAGGGATCTTGTGAGGTAACATTATAGTCTAACACAATGGGTGTAATAACCAATAAAGGGAACATATGAACATGTGAAAAGATGACATATGTGATGGAATAGAAAATTGAAGCAAGTTGGCAAGATATGGGCAGATCGTATATCCAACATATAAATATATGTACCATGTGTAATCTAGGATCATTTTGATTTGTATAAGGGGAATACGTGCCAAGGGAGCTTTGACGATAAAACAAGTTTAATCCCTGCATGCTAATACTTGGCAGAATAAGCACGTACATTTAGTAATAAACTCATATTAGAGTACTCACTTTGATGTTCTAGGTAGTAGGAACTGTAACTATGGATCAGTCACTATCAAGGACACTTAGAAAGCTTACTTTGTAATACAAGTGTTGGATTCATACCAAAGAAATAGGTAATCGAATAGCCTTACATACCTCAATTATAAGTACCTTTTAATCAAAACTAGTAGCTTCATGTACTCTAATCCCACTATGTACAACTGACTAATCACAACTTAAGTCTAACCAATCAATTTTCCTTTTGTTAACCTTACCCTTTAGTCACATACTAATCCTCTATAGCCAACACATAGATCATAATAGGAACTACCATACATATATCATTTGCAGCAATTGGCACACTTATCCCTAAGTTTTATAACCATAAAAAGAATACAAATGTTATACGTATTTGGGGTGGTTGGAACATACCACATAAAAAGTCAACTATTAACATGTTCGGGATGATATATGGTGAGAATTTAGGCCTTGTCAGCCAATTAGGGCTATCTCTAGTAACACTATTGCACTGATACATTCAGCTATCAGATTGTGCCACTGCCTTCTTCCAACTAAAAGAAACTGGTTCAACAACATCAATTTCGAGTACATGTAATGTCGAAAGTTCTATGTATAGCACATGCTAAGAACGAATGTCCTCTATAGGAATATATCTTATAAATATGAAGGAAATATAGAACTCAAGAGTTGGTTACATCCTCCTAAGAAGATGTGCTTGGAAATGCTACAGCTCATATATGTAACTAGGTAACCTATCATTTTTTAAGCATATATGGTATACTATATGTTTCTCGATTGAACCAACGTACAAATGGTACAAATGCAACTTAAAATGCAAATAGCAGAAAATTCCTTGCATACCTCGTGGAATGGGACGATCGAATAAAATGAGCTCAATCTAATCTAAATTTTGATAACTTCAGATCATTTTCTGTAGGTTGCATGTTGAAATTTTAGAAACCATTAACCTTAACCGTAACCATAATATGAATAGCATGATCAGGTACAAATGGAAATAATTGACTTCTAAACTTCGCTCTATCGCACGATCTGGATTATTAAGGAAGGTAACATTTCCTAAATATCCAAGCAGCCCCCTAATTATAAATGTGGCATGCAACACAATCATAACTAAGACTCTACTAGACACGAAGCGCTCTGATACCACTTTTGTCACACCCTAATCCTAGTGAGGCAGACAAGTACCATATTAACATATGCTTTAAAAATGACCTATGATGAGAAAGTAAACTACTATACAGATAGATTTACTGATGAGAAGCTTCATACACAACACATGTTGACTAGCTGAACCGATACATGTGACAAGTGAAACTATGAATACAGATGATAGTTTTATAATGTCTACAAAGCCTCTACTGGAATTCATGATTGTACCACTATGAAAATATGCATAGTAAAGACTCGGCAAATCCCCGAATCAAACTGGAGCTCACCAACAACCGTTGAGAA